TCATTCATTATTTTAATGAGTTTATATTGCACACCTGTTACAAGCCAGTCACAGCAGTGAACAAGTCAAGTCCCTCACAGAGCTGACACTGCAGTGGAGTGTGAAAACCAGCTGTAACCTATGCAGCAATCATACCCTGAGGTTGGTGCAGGGGCAGAACCTAGACAGGTCCTGCAAATGGAGAAGTCGAGGGGTGTGCCTTCCTTAGATGGGATCATCAAGAAAGGTTCTTCTAAGGAGGTGTCATCTGAGCTTAGTCTGGAAGGACACAGAGCAGCCACACTGAAGGCACAGCAAGAGCTGCTCCCCGAGGTGCCACAGAGTGCGGCAGGTGCGAGCAAGAGAAATGAGGCCCGTGTGACTACGGGATGGTGCACAAGAGAGATGTCATGTCAAGGAGGCGCAGGGGAGGTGGTGGGGGCTGGTACTGGCCTAGGACATGCCTAGGACTTTGGATGTTCTTCAAAGAGAATTCATGGGAAGCACTGAAGGACTGAAAGCAGGGTGGTGACATGAGTTGATTTATGATTTTAAGATTCCATCATCTGCAATCCAAGATGGATAGAATGGGAGAGAGTGACGATAGCGGGTGAGCACTCAATTAGGAACTTCTGGTGAAGTCTAAATAATGGAGAGAAAGGAACAGTTTCAGCCTTAGCAATTGGCTGTGAAGAGACCAATCAGTAAGGGAAATTTGGATGAGGAAGGGATTTTAGGGATGAAATTCATGAAATTTGTTTTAATTTTGAGATATCATTTGAACATCTTTTCTGAGATTTCAAGTGGGTAAATTGGATACAGTTCTATAATGCCTTATTCATAATTTAAGAATCCATAAACCCCCAAGAAATGAAAAATTTTTCATAACCCTTTGGCAGCAAAATCTGACCTGAACCAGCATGAGCCTCTTGACAGTCCTGGTTTGTTCCTCTGGAAACATTCATACTTTCAAAGCAGAGCTACTGATGTGTTTGATTACAGGGTGATTTCCCAGACCATGTTAGGGGTGCAACGTGCCATATGCACCAGATTAATTTTCTAAAATCCCCAAGGCTGAAACATATTTGCCACCTCCTCCCCTGCCCCCAGGTTTTGCATAAGGATCTGTGAATTTCTGTAGAAATCTGGAAGTCAACTGGAAGGACAATCCTGGAGATGTCCATTTAGACCTGGACGCTTAAGGGACAAAGAAAAAAGGATGGATTTGAGAAAATCATGATCACTCAGAAGTTTTAATGGAATTTTCAGCAAGAAAGTCCAACTCCAGTGTGCCCTGAGAATTGTAGGAGGACCTGCTTAGGATCTTTCTCCAGGGCATTGCCCAGCCCTGGGAGCAAATCAGTTCAGCTTGGTGCCTAAACTCTGATTTGGCAGGAGAAAAAATGCCTTCAGATTCCACAGTCCTGCTTTTAATGGTTTAGCCCAGCCCTTTGACCAGAATTTTCAGGGACTGCTTTTTTATAATATATGGTTATTAATTATGGCTTAGAAACCACTTTATTTTATTAAATGTTTTTTATTTATTAAGGCAGGCATAAATTTTCCCATGACATTCAGGGTATAAACATGGCACAGATCTCTATTTCTTTAAAAAAATGTTTAAATTAAATGCAGCTTGAGCTCCCACTCAACAGCCTAGGTAAAAAATCCAGGATCTATTAGTTTCTGGGGGGACCCTTCCTCCATTCTCTCCTGCAATTCCAGAGCACCTCAGGGATAAGTCAGTCAAAGGAAATGGGGAAGGTATCCCTGTTTTCAGGTGTTTGTGACTGGCTATCACTGGCATTGTTCCTGGCTCAGGCCCCCATGGTCCAATGAGGATGGCCAGCTCTCCCTAAACCATGTCTACCCACTGAGACCTTTGCTACTGAGGACTTGGCATTTGGCACTCTACCTGCATAGTCTGTAGAGTCCCCCATGCATGGGACTCCCTGGTCTGGGTAGGAGCTGGAGTTGTCCCTGGCCTTCCCATCTGTGGAATAGTACCCTTCTCCACAGGGTGGATATTCATCTTTCTGGATGGACTCCTCCAATCTTTGACTATTAAGCTTCCAGCTTTCCCCCACACTCCCTCCCTGGATTCTCCTTCCTTGAAGGCAAGAAAAAGTCTCCTACTACTCCAGGTAAGTCTATAGCAGCAACATAAACACAAGAAACCAGCAAATTTGTCGTTAAGCACCCTCTTGCAGACCAAACAGACTACCACCACCAAAAGTTCTCCAAATACCTGCTCACTGACCTGTCCTCCAAGTATAGAGCCTAAGATGTTCGGTGGAATTAAGATACAAAGGGAAGGAAGGGAAAAGTTTTGAGATGGAAAACTAAATGGAGTAAGCATGATTTTGAATCTGGTTTTGCTATATTCCAGGGGTTTCCTAATTGCTCAAAGATTGTTTCAATCCTCAGAATACAGTCAGATTTATGTATGTAAAGTGTTACCCAGTGAGAGAGAGTGGAAGAAAATTAAAATGATGACACTAAGCTGAATAAACTGTATGTGGTGTTCTGTTTCTAAAATGTGGATTCCCTCCCCAGTAATTAAATTAATATGTGCTAATTATAGGACAGTTTCAAAATACAGAAAAGATTATAAAGAATAAAATGAATATGGCCAATAATCCTGTCACAGAGATAACCTTTCCAATATTTTGATGTTTTCCTTCCAGTTTTTGTCTATGTGCTGGCTCTGTAGGGATGTGTTTCTGTATTTACATAGCTGGGTATTAGAGTATATTCAAGTTTGTGTTCTGTTTTTCTTTCAATATTCTCACATTGTCATATTTCATTCTTAGGAAACATGCCTAAAAATAAAGCGAGAAGCCAATCTACTAGTTTCCACTGAGGACTGGACAATCAGGCCCCTCTCTTCCCTCAGGCAGAGCATACATGCTCTCAAGAAGCTCCATGAGTATAAAAAAGACTAAGGACAAAACAGGAAGATAACATTTCATGACGGCATCTGTAGGAGCTATGCTTTCTTAACCATTTCTCTTTCTTAGTTGTTTCCTCTTTTTCACAATTTCTTGTAATTCTCTAATGTCTGGCTATATTTCTGTTTTTTTTCTTAGGATAGTTTGAAGTCAAAGACCTAGGTCAAAGAACATGAACTTGTGTTATTTGAATTTTTTCATTAAAAACTTTTGCTCCTAAAGTGATATATTGTCATTTTAAAATTTGGAAAATATAAAAAAAAGTAAAATGAATAAAATGTAAATCACAAATATTCTTGTAATCTAGAGAAAATTACTGTCAGTACTGTGAATCTGCAGTCCCGTGTGATTCGTGTACCTCTATTTCTGTTTCTTTTATTAATATTACTTACTGTTACATTGTGCTTCCCTATCATTAAGTCCTATTTGAGAACATGATTTTAATGGCCCTTTCCCTCTCACACATCCTAGCATACTTAGCCATTTCCCTTTCTTTGGCTCTAATGAGCTAGTTCTCAGTTTTTGACTATCTCAAATACTATTGCCATAAGGTCCCCAGGGTGAGACTTTGAACCTCTTCAGCTCAATCCCACCTCACGAATGAGGGCACTGAAACCAGGAATACATCAAGGAGTTTCTTCAGGCCACTATCAGCACATTTGTATTACCTGGGCCAAGGGCTGAGCACTTTCATTGCAGTAGACAACCTGCCCAACCTTACACAGTTGCCATACCCCATGTGGAATTTTACCCCAAATCACAGAGGTGGTAAATGACAGAGCTGACTGTCAGACAAAACCTGGTCAGCGGCCAATCCACTGCTCCTTTAGCTCCCTCAAATGGCACTCCTGACCTGGTCAAGAGGCCAGCAGGCCAGGACTTCCATATGCTTCCTTACACACAATATTCACGGCATGACACTGATCCCAGTACACTTCATGTTTGAAAAAGTAATTACCCCATGATCATCTAAACATTCCATTCAGGCAACTGCATGTATTGTCTGGCTTTCAAACTTACCCAAACTTGGTGACCTAAAAGTCCAAAGTTATGGATTCCAATTTAAAAAAAAGAAAACAAAACTAACTGTGGTCTTTGGTAATCTTAAAAAATGACCCCTCAGCCAATTCAACTGGGCAAAATGTTAAAACTAACAAACATCCTGAACATGATCTTAACATTCATAATATCTAAAGTGAACAACTGTAAGTCAGTTACTTGAGGGATCACTGCTGTTTTTGACATCCCACCAGGATGTTCTGGAATTTTATCCTGACCTGTGGTTTTCCTTTCAAAATTTGGAAAGCTCTTCTACCTAAAGGCAGCCAAAGGATAGGAAAATGACAATGAAGTGAGGGCTGAACAGTTAGTGTGTCCATTTTACGTGCTTTAGAGCAGTCCTGCTGTTGTGTATTTTGGCACGTGGTTTTAAGACATATTTTAGTTGATCTTTGGAAAGCTGAAAGTTAATTCAGAGTCAGATGTTCAGAAATAGAATAAGACAATTGTAATCTCTCATCCCTTAATTTTTGTACAGAAACTTGTGTACAAAATTGTTCTGGACTGATGGATGCCTCTTGAAAACTGGGTCAAAAACATGGCTGTGGTAGGAAATCCCTTGGATTATTAAACGACGCCTGAGCAGCACCAAAGAGACTCAGGACTTCTCTTAGGTCTGGTGCTGCTGCCCAGAGGGCTGCCTCCGCATTCTTTTTAAAGTTTTTATTTGGAAGTAATCTCAGGCTTAAAGAGAAGTTGGAAAAACAGTACAAAGAAAATCCCTATATATTCATACACATTCTCCAAATGTTAGCATTTTAACACATTTCCTTTATTGTTCTCTCTGTGTGTGTGTAGTGCAGACTTTATAAAAACAAGGATGTTTCCTTAGGTAACCATAGTACAATATGGAAACCGGGAAATTAATAGTAACACAATGCTCTGACTTAATCTACAGTTCTAATTATAATTTTGCCTGGTGGACACAATCCCTACTATTGACCAAAGGTTAACGTCACCAGTTGTGGGACCATGAGGTCTCTAGTGTCTAGAGAGTAAGGGAATACTTACTCTAGTGTCCTGTCCTGACGGGTGCAGCCCGGCGCCTGCAACACTTCTGTCAAAAGGGCACAAACTGCGTCTCATCTTGAAAAGCTGCCAGACACACCAGAGGGCGGGGCTTCCTATAACATAACAGAACAGCGCTCTGTTACCAGCACCAAACACACAAGTGATGGCCTCAGCAAAACCAAAGGGAGAAACTGGGCTAAATGCACAGCCCCGGCACCGCCATCATTCGGCATTGTTTGTCCAGACGTAGACCCACTCAGTTACTTGAAAACTGGATGGGGTCCCAGGAAAGCAAACCCTCACTAATTCCCAAGAAACTTAAGTGGCACTCAGACAAACACATCCACACTTGGCCTCACAAGTGGCGGCGTGGACAGCTTTGACGAGCGTTTCAGCCGGGCGAGTGTCCGCCGAGCCGCTGCGGGTTTGCCAGGCTGGTTGTGCACCTCTGCGAGGCTGATCTCCGCCTGTGCGGCCGGCTGCTCCGGTGGGAACCACAGCGGGGACCAGGGCAGGGCACCAGGGAGGGATCCAGGGCTGGGGACCAGGGCAGGGTCCAGGGCGGGTACTCAGGAGGGACATGGGTGAGGGACCAGGGCAGGGGATGAGGGAGAGATCCAGGGCGGCAATCAGGTCAGGGAACCAGGGTGGGGACCACGCGCAGCACCCTTTGCCACCTCCATCGCCCAGCAGTGACACTGTACAGGGCTGTTACAGGGGGTGATTTAGGCACGGTGATAGGGTGCTCAGTGCGATTTTCATTACATATTCTTTGATTTATATAATTATGATAAGAAAAATAAAATATGATCCTTTTAGAAATACATTAAATACAGAATTTGTATAAATATTCCACATGAAGTATTTTCCAGTTTCTTCCTCCCCCCTCCCAACCCCCTTTAATGAGAAATTTGAACTTGCCCTGTAATCTAACTCTAACTCTGTCAGGCCATATGCTTGGTATGCTTTATGAAATTGCTCAGCAGTCCCAGACCTAGAGCTCTTGGGGTTGAAACTTATGTAATTTGAGAGGGAGGGGAGACTTGAGAATAGAAAATGGCAAATACAAAAGCAGGTACAAACCTTACTATTTATTTAGAATGAGAAAGGAAGTTATAATAAATTCCTGGAGGTTAGGAGATTACAGGTCCTTTTCCTCTACATTATCAATAGGCCATTATCAGAACCGCTTATATAGAAAGCTTCCTGTTTAAAATCTGGCTTCTCCTCCCAATCTAGAATATTCTTTAACTCCTAGCAACTCTGACAGCATTCACAGGGGATGGTGACATTGAGATACCCTGAACCTTAACTTGATTAGCTCTAGGATATTTCACCATGTATAGTCACTGCAAATACTTAAGTTCACTCAAGTTGATTTAAAAAAATAGCCATTGTACATTCCTTCAAAAATGTGCAATTGAAATATTGAAGACTCAAAAGTGCCTGTTTTTCCTTAATGGAAAAAGGAACCATTACAATTTCCTGTGCTAATGAGTATGGGTTTCCACTCGATTTCTATGTATCAGAGAAGGGCTATGGAAGAATGTTGGAGATGTATTTTTCAGGATGCACATGCCTAGTTACAGCAGGCAACCTGGAGCTGGTTTGCATGGAAAAGGAACTTTCATCACAAACTCATGAGTTTCAGAATGTGCTACAAGGCAGAACTTTGTAGCCTGGAGTGACCTAGACAGTAGCCCCTACAGGCCTTTCCACTCCCAGTTCCAGGGGCTGTGCATCCAACCCTGAGGTCCCTTGGGACCCTTGTGACACAGCCTCCCCCAGCTGCTCTATCTTCCTCTGCTGGGCACAGCCTCACCCTGCATGAGTAGATGGCAGGTGGGTGAGCACAGGCTTGGCTCCAGCAAGGATGCCCCTGGTCATGTGGGGACTGCAGACAAGCTAATCCCTGCTGCCCCTGTGCTACTGTCCCAAGAGCTCTAACCAGATCAGCTTGGGGTCATATTCAACCAGCCCTGCCTCCAGCCAAGGCAGCAGATATACAACCCACTCCCATTACCCAGAGTGGAAAGCCCTGCATAGTGGACAGGATGCTTTATAATTGCAGAAGCCTTGGTCAGAATTGGCAGAAAATGAACATGTAAGGGATTTTTAAATGCTCAAGTAGTCGCAGACATTTTTGACATAGAAACTGTAAGAAGAAGTGCCCTTTGATGTAGAGAAAAAGGCAGAGGAGTGGCAAGAGAGTGAAGGACATAAATAGCTTTACAGCAGACTGCCCAACCCTGCTGGTGAAACAGAAGTAGTATTTTCCCCACAATTTCTCTCCCTCTATTGCAGTATGGTGGAAAGGCCAGTATGTGACTTAGGATAAGTGTCTTCAAGTTTGGGCAAATAAGCCTGTTGCATCATTTGTAAAAACAGCTTCACAAGAATTCCTGTCTCAACAGTTGTTATGAAGATCAAATGTGGGAAGTTCTTTGTAAATGGCTGAGAAAGGGTCGTGTTTATTTTTCTTTTTATGTGACTGTGGAAATGTCTGGTATTTCAAGTTCACCTATAATGGACCACTGATAGAAGTAACACATTTTTATTATTACAACTCATTTAATTCCAGAAACAAACATCTAAACTAGCTCAGTCTCTTGAGGACTTGAGGGAATGATGCTCTGTCCCCACCTCTCCACTGTAGCAGGCATTTTTGTATAGGCTTACCTGAGTATTCAGAACAGGCTAAAAAGGGAAAAATCACAAAAACAACACATATTGCAGCCTTAAGCAACATGTAGGGGTGAGAAATATTTGTAGAGAGGATGACTGAGGTCTTCACAAATCAGTGGCTCACATGCATCTCATGATTCTTTCATTTCAGTTGTATATACTTTAGCTCTAACCAGAGGAATCACTTTTCCCTTTTACTAACCTTCCTGGGTCTCAACCCACTCCTGTCCTGTAGGCCACCCCCAGCACCAGCCACAGGCCCGGATGGCTTCTCAACATTGCCATTGGGTGGCTCTGAGCTTGGGTCTCTTTTCTCCCATGTTAGCCTGGATTTACACAGTTTTCCTACAGGCTCTCCTGCTCCATGCTCCTGCACCATGTTCTAACTTGCCACAGTTTAATGGCCAAAACTTATATTTAAAGCATTATGGACACAGAAGAGGAAAATAAATAATTCCCAATAATGGGCTACAAAAGACCCTGTGGCATTGCACGTCTGTAACTGCAGACCCGTTGACATTGTCCAGTGGAATCTGAAAAGCTATGGGCATCTGCTTTGAAAGGTCTTTGTGTGACTCTACTGCTGTTTTCTGGTGTCAAGAGTGAGGAAGACCTTCAAAGAGAATTTTGGTCAGAAACCTGATGGTGACAAGCAGTGATACCCTCTCAAGGTGAATCCCTTTGTCAGAGATGAAGTGAAAATGCAGGAACTCCACATTTTCATGAAACCTTTGTTCATATATGTTCACTAGTCACCATCTAGAATCAAATAAATACAGTTTTCTTCCCTCCCTGTCAAAGTTCCAGGAGTCTAACAGCCAGCCAGATTTTCAGTTGTCATATTAGAGTGAACCAAACATGAATGGAGAACAAAAAGCATTGTAAAAATGGAAATTTTAGTAAATAAATTTTTAATTTGAGGGAAATAATATATTTTATAAACAAATATACGCAAAGACAGATTAAAAAAGAAAACATGTATTGTGAATCAAATCTAAGTTGTGTCTAGACACATTAGACAATTTCTCTCATTTTTAAAACCTGTTGGTATAAATTTGTTTGATATCTGTGACTAACTTTTGGCAGGGATGTGTATGTTGTGTATGCATTGTAAGAACTGGAAAAAATAGCATACTAAATTTAAAGTAAACAGAATGAAATGATATTTTTTTCCATTTAGTAACTTTTTTTTGCACTAGCTCTCCTGAAACAATTTCCATCTGCAACTTTGTCTTTAGAAGTTTTAATTATTTTTTAATTTCACCACTTGATTTTGATGAGTGCGGTTGGCAATGGATTCAGATGGCAGGGGACAGGTTTAATCAATTGCAAGCGGCTTCTATAACCTTTGGTTTGGGAAGTAAATAAGAGCAGAACAGAAACTCAGTGGCACATTCTCTTCTCTTTCAAACATATGTTCTTATTTAATAAATTCTCTCTCAAATAAAATAAGCCCATAGTTATTGGTGGTCAGTTTCATGTAATAGGAGCTACTACAGTTTCCCATTAAAAAAAAATACAAGACTGCAATAAAACAAACAGTGAGTCACTTTATTGGGTATGAAGTAATAAACCAGAAGTTATAATGATAACTTTTGTGATGTGCCCTAGATGAAAACACCCTTGATTGTTCCGTTTGGTTTGGGCTAGGACTTCTTAGCCTTAGTGGTACAGAAAACCAATATATGGTCTGATTCCATCTCACTGATCTGTGTTCTCACAGGAAGTGAAGATTCCACTCTTAGCAATGATCACAGCCATGAATAATTTATCATGAAGGGTATAACGTGTTGTTAATATGTCAGTGTTCCATAAAAATCTTCACAGGGGCAGTTTAGGCACCTGAATTACTGCATGTATGCATGAATGATTGGCATCCATGTAGAGGAGAATGACAAAAAGAAAGGAAGGAAAGAAGAAAGGAAAAGATAAAGAGAAAAGCAAGTGACAAAGAAGAGAAGGAAAGAAGGCTTTTATGGTTTGGGACCCTACCAAGATTCTGCCAAAGTCCTTACGTTTACTCTTCACAATATGTGTATCAGATAGGTGCTGCTCACTTTGCCTATCTTTTAAGTCAAGTAAACCACAGCACCAACAAAGGGTCTCTGAAGCCTGCCTGCACAGCTCCCTGCTGTGTGTGCTGCAGCCTTCCACAGGCCCCAGAAATGCAGAGGCAGCAAATGAAAACAAAGATATTGGCAAGTGTGGCCCAGGACTGGGTGTTGGGAAGCACCCCATCTCTGTGGGCTCACCTGGCTGGGAACCCACAGGGTGACACCTCCTGAATATCAGAGTTGACCAAATGCCATGACTTTCGGCAGAAACAATATTTTGCAGTCAAATTGAGAACTGTTGCTGGACTTCGGTTTTAGTCCCCTGGAAGTGATATTGAACACCCAGGAATTTCTCTTAAAGATTTAATAATTCACAAATGTATATTAACCAGATCTATGACACCCAGCCCTGTCCCATCATCTTCTCATTTCATCTGCTTTTACCCTGCTTAACATTTCTAACGCAGCAGGGGTGTTGGGTGAAATATGACTTTGAGTGCTTGCAGGCCGCTGTGATAAACACCAGTGCAAGCACACAGTGGCTCATGAGGGACAAGTGCCAAAACTTCCAGATGAGTTTGGAGCACACATGCCTTTGTTTGCAACCCTCTTCCCCTCCCCCACCCCCAACCAAATTATCTCTGTTTATTTTTCATCACATCTGCCCATGAGCAATAATTTTTGTATGGTGAACATCAGTGCTTTTGCCTGCCTTGCTTCGTGCTATTTTTTCTCTCTCTGCTTTCA